AGTTTAAAAAACAGTTCAGAATCTTTATGACTTGTATAAAAACAATGAAATTAGTTCTTTTGTTAAACTGACACTGGCATTAATTTAAAGGAAGACAAAACTTATTGCTTGGAAGAAGCCATTTGCTTTGATAGAAAGAAACTAGTTTAATCCCCCTCTCGCTCATTAAGATCCTTCTGGCTACACACCAATCTTCCCAACTTGTATCATTCTTCAGCACTTCCTCCCCAGCTACTCAGGCATCAGTAAACATCTCTCCAGGCTTTCCGGAAAGCCAGGGTAATTTTAGTGGCCAGGAATGCACCAAGCCACTCCTGTAGCTTGCAGGAGTAGAGGGGGGAAGAAGCTATTGTTACTAGAGCAGTTGAGCTGAAAGTTTGCCAAAAAGAGTTGGGGGGGGGGGGGGTGTGGAAGAGACGGCGGTGGAAGGGAGCTCACAAGGAATACCTGAATGCTGTCTTTAAATAACAAAGGAGTTTGAGTGGGGGAAGGAGATGGGACTGAATAAGGCATAAAGCCTAGAGAGTGACTATCCAGGGTTGAATTCATTCTGGAGAGCTGTTTATTGGTACTTGTGAGGGAGAACTGTGGATTGTTGCTTGTTGAGGGAGTGGAAACGTGGCTAGAACTGGCTGAGGGAGGAGATAAAACTATGGCATCCTCCCTGCAGTAGTCAGCACAGCCCACAATAATAGAAGCTTGAAGCTTCCACGTGTATAGCTTAATTAATATTCATACCTGAATTTTAATTTTGTAATGTATGCAATTTTGATGTAAAAACACTGGAGTTTTCCTTTATCAACTCTCATACACAAATAGTTGCTTTATTATATAGTAGTTATAGAACAGTAATAAAGTATATGGGGAAAACCTGACAACAAGCTCAGTAGATTTGAATTTTTATTGCCACAGTCCTCCATTCCTGCCAAAAAATAATCAAGTCTGTGTGGATTTGTAGAGCTAATGTCTAAAATAGTCCAAATGAGAGACTAATTCTCACATTTGTAACTCTATTCCTTACTGGAAAGTTTAAAAAAAAAAGAATGTAACGGGTGGTTGGTAAAAGTGCTATCCCTGTATTCACTCTAACTCTGTTTTTGAGTTCTTGCGGGCTTTTGCATATTCATGGATTTGTGTATATGCTCTGTGAGTGAAAGTTTACACTTCAATATTCTGTGAAATAGTCTCTGAAGAGAGTTGTCACATTTACTAAAGCACCTAACGCACAATCAATTAAAGTACATTTATGTAAATGCTAGTAACTTATGCATGAATATAGGTTTGTTAATCGGTCCATCTATAACGTGTGCAATACTGTATGTAGAGTTTTCAGCTGTAATAAGTAACTGCCTGTTGGCAAACATTAAATACTCGTGTCTTGCACAAACTATAACAAATGAGCACTTCAGGGTCATACAAGTAGCTCAGTTACAGCATAACGTATGGCTTGTAAACTGATGTTCACAGAGGAATATTCACTTCATGTTTTCTAAGTACTAATAACACTGGAAAAATACAGTAGGTATGTAATTGTCAGTTTTAAGTATAAAAATGAAAATATTTTGCTTGTCTCAATATACGTCCATTGAAGTCGTTTTTATACCTTAACGGAAAAAGTAGGGTGATACAATATTTAACGTTTTTTGTGCAACTGTTCAACTTTCTCTCTTGAGGCTGAAATTCAAGCAGCCAGATGTTCATTTTTAAAATGTCTACCTGCCAAATACACATATCATAAATTCCTCTAAGACGAGGAAAAGATTGTGTGTAGACTAGATTGTGTGTTGGTATAAAGGTTTTATTTGCATGAGTTTGCAGTGTCTGCGTGACTCACAAGTGGGAGAAATCCCAGGTCATCCCAAAGAAGTGCTAGTAAAATCTTTATCTACACCAGGGGTGGGCAAACTACGGCCTGGGGGCTGCATCCGGCCCGTCAGATGTTTTAATCCAGGCCTCGAGCCGCTGCCAGGGAGCGGTATCTGGGGCTTGCCCCGCTGTGTGCTGTGGCTACTGGAAACAGTGGCGTGTTCCCCCTCCGGCTTGTACATGTAGGGGCAGCCAGGGTTGCTCTGCACGCTGCCCCTGACCCAAGCGCTACCATTGGCTGGGAACTGAGGGCAATGGGAGCTGCAG